ATATATATATATATATATATATATATAGAGAGAGAGAGAGAGAGGTAAGTTCAATTGAGAAAATAAAAAAGATTGAGAATGAGGGAATCATTCTCGGTCAATCATTTATTTTTGCCACAAAACTCTCCATCGTACCAGCAGAAACGGAAAATGAATAGACATATGTTTTCCAACTAAATATGTTTCATTAAACTATATTAATCATTACCTTAATATATACAAAACAAAGTTTTTTTTTTTAATTTTTAAGGAGCTGTTTTTATCGAAAAATATTTTAAATATATCAAAATTCATAATTTTTTATTATCTATAAATAGACATCTATATTGATATAGTTTTAAAGTAAAATAAAATTTTTATTTTTTTATAGATTCAGCTCTCGTTATTTGTAAATGAATAAAAATACATCAGATTTTCATTACAATACATTCGTTAATCATTTATTAATAAAAAAAATATTCTTAATTTTTTTACAGTTTAAATATCATTCATATATGAATATAACATGTAGTAAAATTTTTACAATTTACATCGCTCTCATCACATGTTATCTACATATATGAATAAAATGTGAATTAGCTCTTCTCAAAAATTATATCTCCATATCTCCTATATTCTAATAAACAATAGTTTTATTCTCCTTTTGACACGTGTCACCTTATTAGACATCTTAATTAATACATATTTTATTTTTCTTTTGTTATGTGTCACCCTATCATTTCTCCTAATTAATACTTGCCATTTATCAACCTATTGATTATTAATTTTAAATTCTAAATCTTAAATTTCCACTCTATCTACATTAAATTAATAACATTAAAATAAAAGTTAAAATAAAATTAATACAAATTATATAGTGATATAATTTCACATATTTATTTAAATCGATGATTATAATTTTATATAACTTAAAAAATCTATTAATTAATAATTAATTTTAAATAATTGATTAGTAACTTTGAATTTTACTATAAAAAATTAATTAATTTTGTAACCGTGGTTTCCACGGGTTATAAACTAGTTCATATGTGAATAACACATTTATCAGAATTTTGTTACAGTTCATTTGTTATTCATATATAAATAAGGAGATTGAATTTTCAAAACACTTTGTCTTTTATTAACATACTACTTATTCATATATGAATAACAAAATGAACTGTAACAAAAATATGATAAATATTTTATTTATATATGAATATAATATATGACGAGAGCTAATACACGTTTTAATCGTATATGAATATAACATTTGACGAAAGATGATGTAAAAAAATATATTTTAGGTAAGAAAACTTTATAAAATGTTATATTCATATATGAATGATAGTTAATCAGTAAATAAAAAAATAAACATACGTTTTATTTATAAGTGAATAAAGAATGTATTGTAATAAAAATCTAATGCATTTTTATTCATTTGTGAATTACGAGAGCTGAAACTATAAAAAATTAAAATTTTATTTTATCTTAAAACTATATTAATATGGATGTCTATTTATAGAGAATAAAAACTTATGAATTTTGATATATTTAAAATAATTTTTCGATAAAAATGGCTTTTTACGAATTAATAAAACAAAAAAACTATGTTTTTGTATATATATATATATATTAAGATAACGATTAACATAATTTAAGAAAACATGTTTGATTTGAAAGTATTTGTGTATCTTTTGTCTATTTCCATCGATACGTCCAAATGTTTTGCGGTAAATAAATATGTGGCAGAGATTGATTTTTCCATTCTCAATATTTTTATTTTCTCTATTGAACACACACACACACACTCTCTCTAGCTCTCTTTATATATATATATATATATATATATATATATATATATATATATATATATATAGAGAGAGAGAGAGAGGGAGAGAGATTGTGTGTGAAGTTCAATAAAAACTATTATTAACAAGGAACCACTGAACCAATCGTTAGCGTAGAAATTTAAAACGATCAATGGCCAATGGAATGGATGTACGCTTGCACATCAGACACATATACACCAGATTATACCATAAAACCCATCTATTTATCAAAAAAACCCACATCTTTTTTTCGTTTATTTTTTTTAATTCACGTCTTTTATCAGGAAAAAAATAAAATATACTGTTGTTCACAATTTTTCGTCTTCTTTCCACTGAGATCTATGTTGATATATAAAAAACATTTTTTTCCAAAAAAAAACTCACTTTGTTTTGTAGTTTTTTTTCAATATTTAAGTTTATTTTTATAAAAAAAAATTATACCAAAAATCTTAATTTTTTGTCCTCTATTAATAAACATCACCAACGATTATAAAAAAAACACTCGATTAGTTCAGATTCACATTGTGAATATAAACTGTAAATATTTCAATTTTAACATTAACAATGTAAATCTGAATTATTATTATTCATATTTCACAATGTGAGTCTGTACTGAATTTTTTTTTTTTTTTTTTACATCAATATGAATCGATGTTTAAAGAGTGTCAAAATATATGAATTTTGATAAAAAAATAGGCCTTAAGTTTTCAAAAAACAAAGAAATGAAGTGAACTCTTTTGAAAAAAAATCATTTTTTATATATTAATATAGATTTTTATGGAAAGATGACGAAAAATCATGAACAATGGTATATTCATTTTTTTCGATAAAAAACATGACTTAAAAAAAATTTAACGAAAAAAAAATGTGGGTTTTGTTATAATCCGGTGTACGTGCATCCATTATAAAAGACTACAACCATTCCTTTTACCGTTGATCGCTTTAACTTCTGACACTTTAAATTAGTTTTTTGGTTCCTTAATTAATAATCGTTTTTTATTGAACTTTATTTTTCTCTCCCTTTCTTTTTTTTTCTCTCTCTCTCTCTCTCTCTCTCTTTCTCTTTCTCTCTCTCTCTCTCTCTCTCTCTCTA